GAAAAAAGATATGTATGCCAAAGTTATGCAACAAAACTCGACTAAAAGTAGCAAAATTGCAATAAAATTTCGTGATATTGTTTTATACCCAGAATCCCTCTAATACCCAATAAATAACTTACCTTTCAATTTTAAGATAGGGATGACATCGATGCTGGTATCGATAGCTCAACATCGATGTTCGATGTATAACCTACTCAAAACATCGATGTTGACCATTATCGATGTTTTTTGTATATGTGTAGATACTAACACATTGTTTTAAAATCATGTGGGTATACACAGCAAGGGAAAAGTAACAATTAACTTGAATATCAATTTACCGACAACGACACTACAAAATAAAGCGAAAGCAGTGACCATTACAGGTGACGCTTGACAATTAAGTTTGATACACTATACTGACATTTTTTTTTAGGTTAACGATGCGTTCAGAATTCTGAATTATTCAAAATTTTTAATCTTCAGAGCAGATGCAAGATTTAGTTGATATTGATTTCGCGGGTTCGCATTGTTTGCAAGTGCCCAATTATCGATTTTGGGTTCATTGATGTCGATGTTTCGATGTTTGATATGTGTCAACATCGATGTTACAACATCGAAGTTTTAATTTTTAACATCGATGATCATCGAACATCCCTATTTTAAGCGTGTTTCCCACTCAGAGTGTGTTATGCGACGATCGTAAATAAAGCGCAAGGTCAAACTTTACGCGTTGTAGGAGTGGACATCAGTACTGATTGTTTTGCACATGGCCAACTTTATGTTGCTTTTTTCCGCGTTATTAGTCCCAGTAACCTTTTTCTGTAAGCCCCGGCTAGGTCTACTTCTAACGTCGTTTACACTGAAGCTCTATCATAAACGACTTAGAACTTTCAGCATATCGATTTAGTTTGTTACCACTTATTGATACAGTAATGATATAAATCGTTATCTTACCCTAAACGTCAAATTCTTTAAAAACCTATATACGCGAGCTACGCCGCGGGCACAGCAAGTAATATAATAAAATGTGTACAATAACATGGACGAAAGTCTTTAAAGTTAGTTGTCTTTAAACAAAGCAATCTTTCAATATATCATTAAAAGCGTTAACAAAACTGCCTTCGACACTTTTTATGCGCCCTTATGACTTCAATGTGAAAGAAGAAAGAGAATCGTGAAGCAAATTTCGAGTTATAATATACGATGTCAGGTTTTATTACAGGAAGTGAAGTTTTTTTTTTAAATATTTTAATTGAAAATTGGAAAACCCTACATGAGAATTGCTTAAGAAGCTTTTTGAGATGCATTAACAATATGCGGAAAGAATCATTTATGAAACATATTCACGACTGATATTACAATGTATAGTATAATAAGCTGTAACCATAGGCCGTATACAGAAAGAACGCCGGCAGCCGGCGCCGATCTACCAGCGCTTATCGGCGCTGGTAGATTCAGGTAACAGTTACATAAAGCAAGCCGAATGAAGCAGAGCGAGAAAAATGTCGTACTCATCGGACGATGAATTAGTTTTGTTAGAAAATGTGTATTTTAAAATGCGAAAATAAGCTATACATCCTATTAATAGAGAAAGGAAATTTTTCGGAGAATACCATCATTTATTTGTAAAAGAATTGAACTTTGATGATCAAAAATTCTATAGATATACAAGAATGACTCAGGAAACATTTTATTACATTTAGGACTTAGTGGAAAAACATTTGATGAAAATTGGTGTCATTGGCATAAACAACCAATCCTTCCAGAAGAACGACTAAGTACGAAAAAATATATTTATCGCTTAGTTATTAAAAGATAAAGTTATTAGATTTATAAAACGATTAAAATAAAAAAAAATGTTTGAGAAAAGATGTATATTTGTCTATTAGTCAATTCTTACAAAATATTCGCCTTAGAACTGTAAAGTTTTGTAATAAATAATAATATATGATCAAACGAACTTCCAAGTGAAGTTCGATCATTATTATGATGACTTGCTTCATTTGAAGATATGATTATAACCATGTAGTTTCCCTACTTACTTACTTGGTAACTTCGCACATATTTTAAAGATTATTTTAAAGCGGTTTAGTGACGTACTTCCGGTATGGCTACCTTGTGTTGGTGCTTTGACGTAAGCTCATTTTTTTTAGAGTTAAGTTAACAATATGATATAAAACTTTCTGTGTATCTGGGATCTTTCTGTATCAGGGAGGGAGGGAACTCATATCTTCAAATGAAGCAAGTCATCATAATAATGATCGAACTTCACTTGGAAGTTCGTTTGATCATATATTATAATTCCTTGCTTCATTTTTCAGATATGATTATAACCATGTAGATGTTAAGAGTCAGAAAGTTTTAGAGTGGAAAATAAACAATAAGTTAGCGAACCTTATAGTTTTATTTTTCAACGAATCAGCCTTATAGTTATAACCATTTATAAAATTAAGTGAACTTAACATAAACTTCTAAGCATTGACTAAGACAAACTTAATAACTAAGAAACATTACTGTTTTTTATTGTAAGAGTTTTATTATGAAAATATCACAATCACAACTGGTCTTCTGTTGGTAAGCAAACAGACCTAGCAAATTCGCCTTCATTTACAATAGGCGTTATAAAAACGGGCGAATGAATTAGATGAACTAGTCCACCCAGCGGTTTTGCGAATAGTTTCTATATTAACGCCCGCTAAACTCGCGGCCGAGGTGGATGCGTGTCTTGTGCTGTGCGCACCAAATATACTGATGTCAACGCCACTTTCTGACAGCGTTTGTTTAAGTTTGTAAGTTAACAACAGATTATTTGTACTCTCAGGTCTTATTTCTTTAGTTATATAAATATAATCTGAGAGAACTGTTGCTGGGCAAATAGAATTTTTTTCCCTGAAGTATGGCAGAAACAACAAAGGCTGTACACTTCCGGGTGCAGATGTCTTGATGATGTCTATTATGGCTATTTTTATGCCAGTGTCTGAAAATCATATGTTGTCGAGTTTAATTAAGGAAAGCGTCTGTACTCTGTGAGCTGTACAAATTGCTAAAAGAGTGACGAGTTTTTTAGTGATTTTCTCCAGTGTCAGCTCACTGTTTGGGAACCATGTAGAGGTAAAGTTTAAGACTAATTGAGGATTCCAGGTGGTGGAATATTTAGGTTTTAAAGGCCTTAATTTATACGCGCCTTTAAGGAGACGCTTTATAGATTCGTCTGAACCAATATTTTTGCCTATGAATGCTGACAAAGCAGAACGATGGGAATTCAGGCTGCCATACGCACACCCATTATTAAATTGTGATGCTAAGAATGATAGTAAAGACGATTTCGGTGGGTCAAATACATTAATTTTGTTTACCGTACAATTTTGCCACCAAATCTTAAGTGAGGTATTATATTGCTGTATGGTGCTGGTAGAAAAAGACGACAGCATCAGTGCAGCGGAGTGTGCGCAGGCGCCCCGTCGACTGAACGCCTGCCGGAGAGCCTCGCGACACCCAGGGTAAGGTTCTTGTGCAGGGGATGATACTCCCTGAAATGAGATTGCAAGAGATTTTTATTGGGGTTTAAATAGATGGCATCAGAAACTATAAGCTTTTGCAATAATGGAAACCATGGTTGTGATGGCCAGTTAGGATAAACTATAATGCCATGTGCATTATCGTAGATAATTTTTCTAAGGCATTTTAGTATCAGGGAAAAAGGTGGAAATGCGTAAAAGTAGTAGTTATTCCAGTCTGCTGTAAATGCGTCGACGGATACTGCGTCAGGGTCTTGTTTCCATGAAATGAATTTGGCACACTTAGTATTATCTCGAGACGCAAATAAGTCTATCTCAGGTTGACCGAAATGGTTTATTATGCTTTGGAAAGCTTCATTAGAAAGGGACCACTCAGTATCCGAATTAACTATTCTAGACGCAGTGTCAGCGCGGTTTTCTTTGGTATTGACATATGATGCATATACCCAAAGGTTGCGCTGCTCACACCATTTCCAAAGAGACCTCGCCAAGTCGTTTAAGTGGGTGTATTGAATACCTCCCATACGATTTATATAACTAATCGCAGTGGTATTGTCCATGCGTAGTAATATTTCACAGTTGGTTACCTCGCTAGTAAATGACTTCAAGCCCAAAAAGGCTGCCATCAGTTCTAAGTAATTGATATGGAATTCTTTTTCTGAAGACTTCCATTTACCGTGTACTTGAGTGTTCTTATAAATTGAACCCCAGCCTGACCGCGACGCGTCGGTGTAAATTTCGATGGCAAATTTTGGCTGTCGCATAAAGTTGCGTGTTGTATCGATATTTGACAACCACCAAAACAAATCTTCTAATATAGTATCAGGTAGGTTAATTTTGACTTCGTAATTATTATTATGCTTAAGTAACGCAAGGAACTTCTGACGCTCTAAGATCTTAGTATACACCCAAGCGTACTTAGCGGCTGGGCATGCGGCGACTAGTATACCAATAAGCCGAGCTAACTCAAGAATAGATCATGAATGTAATTTTGTAAATTTTGTAACCAACTGGGCAATGTAACGTCGCTTACTGTCTGGTAATTCTATGCTAAGGTTATTAGTATCGTTACAAAATCCTAAATATTTGCAGGATTGTCGCGGTTTTAACATACTTTTGTCATAATTAACAACGAAACCTAGGAACTCAAGGAGGTTCAAAGTTTCATTGATATTATCAAGACACTTGTCATAACTATCTCCAATACATAAGATATCGTCTAAATAAGACACTGATTGAAAACCGCGGTGCCTGAGGTAGGCCATAACTTTCTTTATAACCTTTGTGAATACTCGCGGGGCTACGGATAATCCGAACGGCATGCAATTAAAGCTAAATGTGTGAGTTTTATACAAATTATTGGGCTGAAATTGAAATTTTAAATATTTGCGGTCAGAAGGCTTAATGGCTAAAAGGAAATATGCATCTTTTAGGTCGATGGTAGCGAGGTATCCATCGCGTGGTATCAATTTGCATGCAGTTCGATAATCCTCCATTTTAAAATGTTGGTTTTTTTATTAATCTATTTAATGACTTCAAATTTAATATAAAGCGGTTATCGCCGTTAGGCTTCCTCGTGAGGAATATTTTAGATATAAATTGGTCTTTAGTCGTATTACACTCTGAGATAGCACCTAATGACTTTAGTTTACTAATGGCTTTTATCATATCTGATTTTTCAGTATATGATAGATTATTTTTAGGTATTATTGATTGACTCACATGCGTGTGAAAAGGTATGGGATAGCCGTTTTTCAACCAATCAAGAATTACATTATTGTTTGTTATTTTACACCATCGCTCATAAAAGTGGGTAAGTCTACCCGCATGTACCTGCGTCAACGGTGAGACTGCGCGGGCGCCCGAGGTTTGTCGTGCGCCGCGGCACGCTGTGGCGGCTGCGCTGGTGAAGTGTAGGGGCGGCGACTCGCTGCCGTCGTCGGCCTCCTGTATGAACTCCGCCCCCCCCCTGTTCGCCGGATACCGAGGGGGCTGGCTCCAGTTTCCCTGGTAGGACGGACGGGCGCTGGGCTGTTGAGGTGGCTTTGCAGTTTTTGCAGGCTTTTTAATGGAAAGGCCTTGCTTCTCAATGGCTTTGGCGGCTTTAATTTTCTCAGACAAGGACGAACCAAATAGTGACTCGTCCCGTTCGGACTCTTTAACAATATTTAAGAAGGCCTTGTCCAAGCTAGGAGTGATTAATTTTACTCGTGCCTGCGTTGTCAAGTAGTGTGAATCACAAAGTAGGCGGCAACCATTGCTCAAGTGTTTCATGGCTAAAACCTTGTTATCACTCTTCAGCAGCAGGTCCATGCCTCTGTTGATGGCGGTGATGCCCGTACCGAGCTGCTGTTGAGATGCTGTAAGTGTCTTGGCCCGGTTGCGAACCATGTCTGGTACTGCCGCCGAGATTTCTGCATTCAATTTCGGCGCTTGCAAAAGTCTACAATTGTCTGGTATAGGGTAATCCTTAATTAAGATGTCTTTACTAGGTATAGGCATTCCTTTCTTAAGCAAAGGAAGCCACAATTGTGATAAATTACCGTGAATATCATCTCCATAATCAGGTGAGTCCGACGTGGATTCACCGAGGGCTGACAGTAGATCAGGATCTAGCTCGGGTTCTGCGGAACTATTGGTTTCCTCTTGAGGACAGGGTTCCATATAGCCGTCACGTTGATTATCATCGGGTACCGGATCCACATTGTGCGAAATATCATGTAGCACGGATATTGGTTCCACAATGGGTTCGTTGTTGTTGCCCACGGTCACGTTAAGATCTTCGGTACCTAAAATTACAATTTGCAATTTAAATTGTGAAGATAACCGATTGAGGGTACCGTGAAAATAAAATTAAAAATATTTGCACAAATGTTACATCTGTTTTAGATTGTACGTAATTTTGTGCATGTTTGTCATCGTTGAAGACTCGCAGTCAACCCCGATGCAGTTAAAGTAAATTAATTAGGTGTAACAACGCCTATTTTATAACTTAGTTTCGAAAAATGTCAAAGTTATTGACTCGCAGTCAATTCCAGGGCACTTACGAAGCTGATAACACTGTCCACTTTTTGATCACTAATTAAGGGTTGTATTTTCGCTTACCTTCGTCTTCTGACGATGATAGTTGTAAAGGCCTTATTCTTCGTCTTTGAATTTCTTTTTCCTTGATTTTACGTATTTTTCGAGCATAGTGTTCGAGTTTCGACTGTGCGCTTCTTTTTGGCATGTTGCTTGCGAAGCGCGTGCGTTAGTTACCGCGCACGAAAAAGGAATGAGCTTACGTCAAAGCGCCAACACAAGGTAGCCATACCGGAAGTACGTCACTAAACCGCTTTAAAATAATCTTTAAAATATGTGCGAAGTTACCAAGTAAGTAAGTAGGGAAACTACATGGTTATAATCATATCTGAAAAATGAAGCAAGGAATTATAATTTAAAATGTTTGAACGTGGTTTAAATATACACTTGTACAGTCAACAGCAGATCAAGCATAAATAACACTTTGAGATTTGTACCGACCTTTATTATCTTATTTTGTAATAAGAGCGATTTTAAAAAGTATCTAAGTGTACCCTTGATATGCCGTCTTCCGTACAATCAACACGTTACTATTAATTTCTCTATTTAACAAAAATATATGCGTGTCGTAGTTGTACGTGTTGTCGTATAGTTGTTCATTAATTTTAAATGGCTGGCGGCGCCAGCGCTGACCGACGCGTGTCGAAGATTGTCGGAACTTGTCGGCGACGCTTGGCGCTTATCGGCGCCTTTTCATATAAATGCCTGCGCGGGCTACCTGCGTGGACCGGTCCCTATAAGCGCTGATAGGCGGCCAGCTTTCTTTCTGAATACGGCCTTAGATTTAAAATATTCCTACGCCAGTATATTATAAGTTCTAACACTTTACTAACACTAGGCTATTCTAAGGAACTATTCATTCTCCATGATTTTTCTTCTTTTTATTTATAAATATACCATTGTTAATTTTAAATAAAATAATTTGCTGTTCCACAACTCAGTCGTTAAATAGCTATATTTTATAATTTTCTATTAGAGTTAACGATTGTGGCAAGTCAAATTGACCAAGCTCATATTTATTATTTATTTATTTTATTAGGACTACAAACAAAAATAGCAATAGTATTAGAATATGTATATGATATTTCAATACTCAAGAAAATTGTTATTATTTTTACAGGTAAATACTACCTGCATTAATTTTATTCAATGACACAAGTGTAAAAAAATAAGATATGGGGTAGTAGATTCTCTTACGTCACCACTTTACAGCGGCTATAGATAAAAAGTTAGTGTAATTTTTCAAATAACATTATAGGGACAAATAGCTAACAATTCTCCGGATGATAACTGGCTACTGTGTCTCAACTGCCTCATTGGTCTAGTGGTTGTAGTAGTGCGACTGCTGATCGTGAGGTCCCGGGTTCGAATCCCGAGTTGGGCCAGAAAAATCAGTTATTGAGTTTTTCCGTAAAGAAATTCTCAGTAGCTGCCCGGAGTCAGGAAGTTGGCGGTGTTTCACCCCCGTGCCTCGGAAAGCACGTAAAGCTGTGGTGGCAACGCATCTGCATTTTGATTTGCAAACGAGGATAGATGTAGATGTCTATGGGCCGTAGCAACCACTTACCATCAGGTGGACTGTGTGCTCGTTTGTCACCCACATCCTATAAAAAATGTTCTTGCAACAATTTCGTATATTTGATACGCTTTGTTTGTAATATGGATGATATGAGCATTAAAGTTAAGATTTCTTATATTTACGCGAACACTACACATTTAATAAAACTATTTTTACGGATTTTATTGCGTTTAATTGACTTATTTTATAATCCCGACGTTTCGGTTGCTTTCCAGCAACCGTGGTCACGGGTGACTGAGGTGATTGACGTCCCGATGTCAGTGTTAAACCGGAGTACCTTCATCTTTTTTAATTAATAATTTTGGTCCGATCTACGCAGAATGAACTAACTGTGTCTTGAAGTCTTGCAGTGGTATGCTTGGGTTTAGTTTTAATTTTATGAATTACAGGATCCCAAGCAGGTGGTAGTACCTAGCCTCCCTCTCTATTGAAATTAGGATGTTTTTTTTTAATTTCAATAGCCTCACGTATCATCCTTGGCAGGAATCGATGTTCTTTCGCGAGAATTTGTGGTTTGTCAAATCTAATGTAATAGCGGGGGCCGTCTAGGATATGATCACAAACTGCAGACTTCCCGGAACGTTGGTGCTTCACGTCAGCTATGTGTTCTTTTACGCGGGTTTTTATAGATCGATTTGTTTGCCCTATATATGAGAGAACACACTCACAATCAAGCTTGTACACTCCTGCATCTTGTAGAGGAATATTATACTTGACGGATGGTAAGAACTGACTAATCTTCTTCGGCGGCTTGAAGAATGTTCTAATAGAAGCTTGCTTCAAGATGTAGCCAAACTTGTCTGTGAAACCTCTGACATACGGTAGTACAGCAGGCACACGCTCGACTGTGGCCGGTTTCACTCGGTCACTGTGACGTAGGCGCGGAACCCGAAGCTTGTTGTCGTGCAGAACCTGCTTGACGTGCTGAAGCTCGGCGGCCAGGTGTTTGCTGTCACAGATCCCTCGTGCTCTCTGTAACAAAGATTTGCCCTCTGTAGCTAACTGTGAAGGACGATGGTGGGATTCACCGTTTAAATATCGGTTTGTATGGGTTTTTTTTCTATACAAAGTGTGACATATGGTATTATCAGGATTTCTAATGACTAGCACATCTAGGAAAGCTAAATAATTATTTACCTCTAACTCCATAGTAAATTGAATTTTAGAGTTTATGCAATTAAGATGTTCTAAAAATGCAGTTACTTTGTCTGATGGTAAAATTGTGAAAGTATCGTCTACGTACCGCTTATAGAAACTAACTCCAAGCAGAAACGTCGGAAATATAAAATAACTTAATTAAACGCGATAAAATCCGTAAAAATAGTTTTATTCAACATTAAAGTTAAGATTTAAATCGCAATCGATGCCAAAATCTTTTATGAATGAATCATCATCATCATTACAGCCCTTCACAAGTCCACTGCTGAACATAGGCCTCCCCCAAGGAACGGTACAAAGCACGGTCCTGAGCCACCTGCATCCATCGACTTACTGCATGTCTTACCAGGTCGTCACTCCATCTAGTGGAGGGCCGCCCTACACTTCGCCTACCGGTACGAGGCTGCCACTCGAGAAACTTTCTTACCCATCGGTTGTCGGTTCTTCGAGCTATATAGCCGGCCCACCAATACTTCAGCTTACTAATCCGTTGGGCTATGTCGGTTGCTCTGGTTCTACTGCGGATATCCTCATTTCTATGTTGATCACGCAGAGAAACTCCGAGCATAGCTCTCTCCATAGCTCGCTGAGCGACCTTGAGCTTCCTCATACTGCCAGCAGTGAAGGAGCATGTCTCAGATCCGCAAGTCATTACTGGCAACACGCACTGGTTGTACAATTTCGTTTTTAGGTTTTGAGGCTGCCCAGCAGAGTTGAATCCATTGATTGACCTCTCGGCCGAAGTTGGACTTACCTAGTCGGAATATTTGTCCCAGGTAAACATACTCGTCAACAACTTCGAACTTAGTGCTCCAAACAACTACCGGCATAGGTGTAACATGGACGTTAAACATGATTTTTGTTTTGACCTTGTTCATCTTTTAGAATAGAATAGAATAATTTTTTATTAAATATAGATCACATGTGTTATTCTTATTGAAAGTCATTTTTTTACTTTAAGTTAAGTTAAGTTTAATTTTTTTTTACTTAAGACCTATCCGATGGGAGACAATATTGAGGTCATTGAGCATAGTGCTTAGGTCCTCCAGCGATTCTGCCGTAAGGACTATATTGTCGGTAACTCAAAGGTGAGTGAAGTACACGCCATTAATGTTAATACCGCATCCTTTCCTGTCCAGTGGTCCATCGTGATGACCGTCAATATCAGCTGATATTGTGGCGCGAGAAGCCCAGCGATCCTATACAGGTGTTTGAGTTAAACACCACCACCTATGGACTCCGGTCTAGCCCGTATATCGCCATGCGAACACTCCTTGAACTCGCTGAGAGAGAGCGCTTAAGATACGCTCGGGGAGCTTCTATTTTGGAGACTTCGGTCTACATGGACGACATTTGTACGGGCGCCTCCACCGTCGAGGAGGCCCTTGTTTTGCGAGACGAATTAATTGCCATTCTGAAGTCCGGAGATTATGAGTTGCGCAAGTGGTTGTCGAACTCCCCTCATATTTTGAAGGACCTCTCAGGAGAGGATCAACAAGACCCTCATCTGTTCAAGCACCCTGAAAACCCTAATTCGTTGACTGTGCTGGGCATTCAATATCAGCCTGTTCAGGACACCTTCACGTATCGAGGAAAACTTGATCCCCCTCCCAAAGCATGGACCAAGCGCTCCGTGCTGTCTACAGTAGCCCGCACCTTCGACCCTAATGGATGGATCTCCCCGGTCTTTTTGGCTAAGTGCTTTCTTCGGAAGCGCTGATGTCCAGGTTAGGTTGGGACGAGCCTATTAGTGGAGCCCTCTTGCGAGAGTGGCTCTCCATGGGCTCCTCCCTTCCTGACATCAACCGGGTCTCCATGCCAAAGTGCTTCCTCCCTCCAGGCAAATGCAGGGCTACCCTACATGGGGTTTGCGACACCTCTGAGAAAGGCTATGCGGCTGTCGTATATCTGTGGACTGTGAGTTCTTCTGGTCATACTGCAGTCCATCTCGTACTGGCTAAAAGCAAGGTTGCTCCCATTAGGTCCCGCTTAACTATCCCTAAATTGGAACTGTCCGGAGCCGCTCTTCTCATGCGACTCCTCAACCACGTTCACACGTCCTTGAAGCCTGTAATCGACATTACGGACGTCTACGCATGGTCGGACAGTGAGGTAGTACTTTGTTGGCTCAGAGCTGCACCTCACAATCTTGAGGTCTTTGTGGCGAACCTTGTGTCTCAAATCCAGAGTTCTGAGACTTCTCTAAACTGGAAACATGTCCTGTGAGGACCCCTTGCTGGTTGACCATCCACTGTGGTGGGGTCCCGGTTGGTTATCTGAGTCTCAGTCATTCTGGCCCCAGGGTAATTACTCCGAACCCACCGAATTGCTGGGCCTACGAGCCCGAGTGGGAGTGGGCAAGGATAAGTCCACTCGGGATCTCTCTCTTCTGGAACGGTACAGCTCTCTCG